AATTCACCAACTTTTCGTGCTAATAGGTCCCTTGTTTTAGTTTTATTTTAGTTTTTATATGTAAGATAGACTAGACGGCTATGACATTTACAGTTTAGAAAGTATATTTCTAAAAAGAATTTATTATAATTTTGGGATCATTAGTAATAAAAATACGCATTCAGTATATAAGTTAACACAAACAACCAATCTGGAACCTACCTTAACAATAAGCATATCAAAAGTTTATATATTCTAATGTTTGCTTCTCTCATAGGTCTTGATTGGATGTGACGGAGCGAATTCCATCGTCAGTGATTATCTGCGGTTAAGACCGAAGAAAGCCTTCGCTTGTCGCGCTGTGAGAGGGTTCACCAATTATCCAAACGGCCATGGATTCCCACAAGAGCTTCTAAGGATAAAGACAGGAAACGTCTTAGTCGGAAGACTTGGTTTGAACGAAAACCATGTCTTTTGGTTTGTAGTACATATGCAAGACAATCATCACAACGGTGAAGATCAACAATCGATCGCGAATCTTACTCTAAAATGGGTCGATAAGTTATCTGAAGATTGGAAAGAAATGGTGAAAAAATGCGATGTAAAGTCATTAACAATCACACACTTAAGGTACCGTTCGCCGTTGGAAATCATGTTTGGGAAATTCCGTCGTGGGACCGTGACTGTAGCCGGGGACGCAATGCACGTGATGGGTCCATTCTTGGGACAAGGCGGCTCGGCCGCGCTAGAGGATGCGGTTGTTTTGGCTAGATGTCTAGCTAGGAAAATGGGTCCGGACCACAGAGATTTGTTAAAGGATTGTTCGATGAAAAACATTGAGGATGGTATTGATGAGTATGTGGAGGAACGTAGAATGCGTTTAGTCGGGCTTTCGACACAGACTTATTTGACCGGACGGTCGTTACAAACGTCTTCAGGGGTCGTGAGGCTAATGTTTATAGTGTTGTTGGTAATACTGTTTGGGCGTAATCAGATTGGTCATACGAAATACGATTGTGGCCGTCTCTAGAAACTTGATGGACACTATATTTAGTGTGAGATTGTGTGCTTTTTTCTTTATTTTTTTGTGTGTATTTATCATTTCTTTTGCTACGTTATATTCCTTTAGTTTTGTTAAATTAGATGTTTTCTTTTTGTTACACGAATATAACTTCAATGTAATGTATTTAAATAACGTTGAAAGTCTAGATTTAGCATTATGTATGTGAAAAATTTAAAATATTCAACTTGACAAAACAAAGAGAATTGATATATGTAGAAATGATGGGAACGATGAAAGAGCCATGACGTGATATATCAAAATATGGCAAAATTAGTTAAACAAAGAGTTAATAACATAATGCCATATTTTAAAACTAAGTTGGCCAGCTATTTTTTCTTCATTTTTAAGTTTTAATATATTTAAAAATTAGTTTAAAAAGAAAGAGTTAATATCAAAATTTGGCCAGCTATTTTTTCTTCACTTTTTGTTGGTAAGTTCACTAAAACTTAGTTGGACTACTTATTTATTTACCTTTGTTAATGATTGTTTTAAAGACTCCCCCTAAATTTAACCAATATTTACTAATGAGAGCACTAGCTAGCTAATTGTATCAAATTTCATAAATTTGTTCTTTTCATTTGTAGACAAAACTTTCCTGTTGAAACTAATAAATCTAAATCTTCTCTCACGTGCATGCATGTACTTCTATACATTTCCAATAGACCTATATTTATCCCATCTACTAATGAAAATTATCTATGTATGGAATAAAAACTATTCCCAATTTCATATTAGTGCATTGGATTTCATAATTCTTTCCCCTTTTTAATTTATAAAAAAAAAACAGTTTCTTTCTTTTTGTCTCCATTAATTCATTAACTTGAAATTCAATAAAATTTTCTACATTTAGTTCATTCTATCATTTCTTAGTTGGTTACAACTCAAGCTTAATTTCTCTAGCATTTTTTCACTATAAAACTCAATTCTTTTTTTTTTGCTAACCCAATAAAACTCATTCTTTACGTTCTCTTAGTGTCACTCATGGCGAATCTAACTCTAGAGCTTAACATTAACTCTGCAATTAACCTTGCAAATGTTAATCTCTTCACAAAAATGAACGTTTACGCCGTTATTACCGTTAACGGCGACAAAACCCACAAGAAACAGAAAGTGAAAACACCCGTTGATCGCACCGGTGGATCTAACCCGACTTGGAATCACGCCGTTAAGTTTTCCGTCAACGAGAGACTAATCCGTGACGGTCGTTTAACTCTCGTCATGAGATTGGTTTCTCGTCGAGTCTATGGCAACAAAGATATCGGAAAAGTTAACGTCCCGTTACTTGAGCTTTTGAATCTGAACACGCCATTAAT